CCATTTTTTCTCTGGTATCTGGTAGTGACTTTTCCGGGTGTCTCTTTGACTTTGAAGTGTCTCAGTCTGTCTGTCTGGCCACAGGCGTCTGTGAAGGAGGTGCGTGGAGTGATCGAGGAGCAGTTCAACATACTGCTGGCAGCCGTGGAGCAGGCGAAGAAAGAAGTGAGCGAGATCTTAGAGGTGGAGGAGCGACAGGCGCTGCGGCAGGCGGAAGGAATCCGGGTTCATCTGGAGCAACGCTGCACTGAGCTGAAGAAAACTCAGAGTCAGGTCAAGAAAATCACCAAGAACAAAAATGACATTGACTTCCTGCAGGTAAGGAGGATATTTGCTGTTTCCTGATGACCTTAATGTATCTGTAACATCTGTCAGTTAAAGGTGATGTGTAAAGTTAAAATGCGTTAAAGTTCAAAAGTTGCAATGCATTGGCCACAGGAATATTACTGTTAACTAAAACTAAAACACTTTTGTGAATTGAAATAAAACCACTAAAAAGAACCACTAAAATTACTAACTTTCAATAAATAAAAATGAAAAATAAACTTAAAATAAAAACTGAAATTATAAAAATAAACACCAATTTAAAATATTAATAAAAACTATAATAGTATATAAATCTACAAATAAATTCTCTCTATATAAATAATAGTATATAAATAAAAAAGACAAGGCAACATTTATCATTTTCATTTAGTTTAATTTGATATACTAATATAACTAAAAGTAAAACTGAAATAAAAATTAATGAACTCAATATAGATATATTTTTAAAATAAAAATGACAAAACACACATTTTACTAAAACCTAAACTAAAGTTAAAATAATTCTACTAATTCAAAATATTAATAAAAACTATCAATGATACTAAAATAACACTGATATAAATAATACTTAAATAACACTGATATAAATAATACTAAAATAACACTGGGTGGCCAAGCATTTGCATATGCAAAATGTGTTTCTGAACTTAATCTCTAATTGTTTTGTTAAATGTTTCTGGTATTATTTATATCCATATTGTTTTCCAGGAGTATTCACGGTGGAAAAAAGAAACTGTTGATGTGTCTTTACCTGGCGTTTATATCGGCCTCATGGATCATCTGCAGTTGTTCAGTCGTGTTATCACACGGTCCACGACAGAGATGTGCGACAACCTGCTGACCTCATACACCAACAAACTTAAAGACACCTGTAAAAACGGTCAGTATGCAGAACATTAAACATCTCCTTTCAAAGTGACACATCTTGCTATGAATCTGAGCAATTCAGAAACATCAAACCTTTGTGTTCTATGAAGGATTTTGCTAATTTACCCATCTTGATCTTGTTTCAATTCACAGATAATGTAGGCATTAAGACGACGGTTTATGCCATTATTGCTGCAAAACGCAACATGTCAATTCCGAACCCGAAGACCAGAGACGACTTCATTAAATGTGAGTGTTGATCAGGGTAATTATCGTTAATTAAATCTAAAACCATTAAAAAGATTTCTGTTACTTGAAGTAAAATAAATGTAAAAAAAAAAAAAATCACAGGTGAATAGGGTAAAATAATAACTAATAGATATCACCATACTTCCCTAGTTAATTGATTACATTTACATTTAAGCATTTAGCAGATGCTTTTATCCAAAGCAACTTACAAATGAGGACAATAGAAGCAAGCAAATTGGCAAAAGAGCAACAATATATAAGTGCATTGCCACACATCCTTCCTAACATTAAGAATTCCAAAAAACAAACAAAACGAATTCAAATGTTGTTTAAATTTGCACTACTTTGCATACATTTCTAGAACATATATACTGTATGAACACTGGATAAAGCCAGGTTAAAAATTCATGTTTGATTTTTTTTTTGAAATTTTGGAAATCTATTTTTATCACTATAAATCAGCCAGGGGAAAAAAAAAAACTTTTTCACCATGTTTCAAGAATAAAATGTGTAACTATGAATCAAGGCAATGATATATGAACAAACCCTTCAGTAAAATCCTTCAGAATATAGAGAGGAACAAAACTGTAAGTTTTGGTATATGTAAGTGCTGCTGAAGTGGAGAAAAAACTTTTAAAGGTTTGTATTGTAATTGAAATCTACAGACGCAAATAGATAAATTGAAATAATAAAATCAGGCCAATTATATATGAACAAACCCCTCAGTAAAAACCTTTAGAATATATATATAGAAATAAAACTGTAAGTTTTGGTGCATGTAAGTGCTGCTGAAGTGGAGAAAAAAAGTGATTTTGAGAAAATTCCCTTTAAAAATATGTATTGTAATTGAAATCTACAGACGCAAATAGATAAAGTACAAAAGAAAATATCAGGCAATGAAATTTGAACAAATCCCTCAGTAAAATCCTTGAGAATATAGATAGGAATAAAACTGCTAAGTTTGGTATTTGTAAGTGCTTCTGAAGTGGAGAAAAAACTTTTAAAGATTTCTATTGTAATTGAAATCTACAGACGCAAATAGATAAAGTGCAATAATGAAATCAGGCCGAAGGATATATGAAAAAAACCCTCAGTAAAAACCACAATATAGATACTAATAAAACTGTTAAGTTTGGTATATGTAAGTACCGCTTAGGTGGGAAAAAAATTATAATTTTGAAGAAATAGCACTTAAAAATGTATTGTCATTTAAATCTGCAAATACTGTAAGTGTAATAAAATAAACACTTAAATGTTGGATGCTTTCTTTCCACTAATCTGAAACAACACATTATAGAAGCCAAATAGCCCACAATCTCTAAATTAGTGCAGTGCAAAATTAGTTGCCTTAAAATGAAAACGGAAAATAAAAACATAAAAAAACTAATTCAAAATATGAATAAAAACTCTAATAGTACATTATGATACTGAAATAACAGTGATGTTCACTACAGAAACAGTGTCCAACTTCCAAGATATAATTAATGTAATTCAACAGTGCTTCTCAACTGGTTTTGCTTCCCCTTAATATACAGTAGACTTGACTTTTTGCCCATTTTCTCACATAGACGTCACGCCTCTGACCTTTGATGCAGATACGGCCCATCAGTATCTGCGTCTGACAGAAGAACGAAAGAAGGTGACAAACACGACGCCGTGGCAGCAGAGCTATCCAGAGCTCCCCGAGCGCTTCGAGCACTTCAAGCAGGTGCTGACGGTCGAGAGCTTCTACCTGGGCCGCCACTATTTCGAGGTGGACATGAGAGGAGAAGGCACTCACGTCGGCCTGACGTACAAGAGCATCGACCGCAAGGGATCCGAGAGCAACAGCTGCATCACGGGAAACAACTTCTCCTGGTGTGTGCAGTGGAACGGACGCAGCTTCTCCGCGTGGCACAGCGATGTAGAGACGCCGCTCAGTGGCCCGAAAGCCACGTGGATCGGCGTGTACGTGGATTATTCCAGCGGCGTGCTGGCTTTTTATGATGTGGAAAACGGCATGACGCTCATCCACAAGTACCAGGCTGAGTTTCTGGAGCCGCTTTACCCAGCGTTCTGGCTGCCCAAGAAGGAGTGTGTCGTGCTTTTGGAGCCAGGAGCAGCGTCTTCCCTGACAACCACGTCTCCTGTTTCCTCTCCCAAATAAACTGCTTTTCCTCCTCATATCCACATCATTTCCATCTTACAGGGTCTCATTTTCACCTGGTTTTGTTCACCTTACACAGATACAGATTTAATGGTGTAAACAGGGCTATACGAGATCTACTGTAACCTGTGACTGATATTAAAGTTTTATGAATAGGTTTATGAATATAAACCTATACCTATTAAAATACCTGCAGATGTTTTGTGCATTGATCACATATCACAATGTATAATTTTGTCTTACATGGATGAAACTATATATATATATATATATATATAACATAAAAATATTAAAATAAATATATATGTATTTTATTCTATATTTCTATTTATTATATAGAAATTGCATATATTGATATATGCAGGGTTTTTACATTGTTTCATTAATGTTCAAATATGTAAGACAAAAATTTCTCCTCTATATAGTAATGTTGCACAAGTGACCAAACCCATTTGACGTAGTTAAATATTGCGGGACATTTCACTTGGGTTGGGTTAACTGGACAGATATGGCTCTTTAATGATTCTGTACACTGTCTGTATGCTGCTGTTTTCCCTTATATGTTATATTTTGTGCCCCTATCAAATGTGACAGGTGACAGTTACTTTGGCCACAAAAAAAACGTTGTCTGTCTCTGCAAATAAAAATGTATCACGATGAAATGCTGGTATTTGCCCATGTGTTTTGTTGAAGGGTGACATAACTGGTTCCGCCAGTGAACCGACAGAATGTCACAAAGCTACAGGCACTCATGGGTAATGCTTCACTGAGGATAATTATTACATAACTGCTATCATGTGTAAAAAAGCAAAGAGAGAAAATCATACATTACCGCATAAGGAAAAATGGCACATAGGTCTAAGCAATCATATACATTTATAATTTAATATACTTTAGTGACATAAATATCATTACATCAAAATACATAGAATTTTTTGATAATTTTATAAAATAATTCCCATATCAAAGTTTTAATTTAAAAAATAATCACAATGAACCAGTACATCAAAAAAGAAAATATTTAAGAAATAAATATGTATGTGTGTGTGTGTGTGTAATTATTAAATATTAGAAATAGAGAGAGAGAGAGAGCACGAAATTAAATAAATATATAGTCTAAAATAGATAGATAAATAGATAGATTATTGCAGTTCTTGCCATAAAATGAAAACGGAAAATATAAGCATAAAAACTAATTCAAAATATTAATAAAAACTCAATTCAATTCAAATTGTATTGTTAAATAATATAAATTGTGAATTGGATATTGCACGTGATAAAAAATATTATTTACTAACTAATTAAGAAAAAGTATTCAGTATATTATCATTTATATTTCTCTTTTTCTGTAAATGCTGTAAAACAAAAAAACTAAAAAAATAAGTTTCTGCTCAGGCGCGACGTAGTCAGTCCTTACAGACCCGGAAGTGACGTGTCGTGTAACGTCAGCAACAACAGCGATCAAAATGAAGCTGGTAAGTAAGAATGTGCCATTTTTTATTATTATAAATACTTCTAAAACATTGTAGCCATAGTTTATGTGTACAGCATGCTTGCGTTCCGCCAATATGACTTTTGAGTAAATAAAGGTTTTAATAGTCTGCGAATAAAGCTGGTTTAGCTTAACGTTAGCCAGTAAACAGCTCACTCCATCAGAGAGATTCTGTCGGTTTGTGTTTATTATTTATACGTGTATGTTTAATTATTCTTCATAAATTGTGTTGATCAGACTGACAGCTGTCTTCTCGTCTCGTTTCTAGGACTCAAATGATGAAGACGATGTGGCTTTATTTGATGCTGAGGAAGATTCAGCCACAAGAAAGAAAAGAATCAAGTGTGTTTGTTGTCATAATTAATCAGCATCATTAATTAGTCTGTTTTTCCCCTCTGTCTGTGACCTGTATTTGATGACGCAGCTTTTGACTAGTTTTTATAGTAATTATTTAATAATATTGTAAGGAAAACAGTGTACATTTTGGGGACAAACAGGGACGTCCTCATTTTCCTCATTTAAAAGCAAATGATGTTTATTATTATTAAATTATTTAAATAAATTAATACATTATTATAAATAATTAAATGTATTATTAATAAATAATATTTTTAAATTGTATTTATTTTAATATTTTAAATATATGTATACCTTTGTATTTGATGACGCAGCTTTTGACTAGTTATTATAGTAATTATTTAATAATACTGTAAGGAAAACAGTGTACATTTTGGGGACAAACAGGGACGTCCTCATTTTAAGAAAAGAAAAGCAAATGATGTTTATTATTATTAAATTATTTAAATAAATTAATACATTATTATAAATAATTAAATGTATTATTAATAAATAATATTTTTAAATTGTATTTATTTTAATATTTTAAATATATGTGTACCTTTTTAATAAGTACAGTATATTTTAATATTATTATAATATCACTACATTTATGTATGTTTAGGGTTTTGGGTTAGTTTATAGTAATTATAACAAATTAGGTTTATGGTATAGTATCGTGTGTGTGTGTGTGTGTGTGTTTGATTCCAGGCATCCGATGGCCTCCTTCTTCCACCTGTTCTTCCGGGTCAGTGCCGTTCTGGTGTACCTGTTGTGTGGTTCGTTTGGCGGATCCTTCATCGCCTGTATGGTCACCATCATCCTCCTCCTGTCATGTGACTTCTGGACTGTAAAGGTTTGTGTTTAGAACAACTGATCAGGTGTTACTACGAAATCCTTACAGTTACTGTAGTTAGTGGAGATTAAGTCAAGCCTCACTATTACTTCTATTTAAAGATTCCAACAAACCTCTGGCCCTACATATTAAACTTCAGCTTGTAACTTGCTTGTCCTGTTTGTCTTATTGTAGAATATAACCGGCCGTCTGATGGTGGGTTTGCGCTGGTGGAATCAAGTGGATGATGATGGAAAAAGCCGTTGGGTGTTTGAGTCCAGAAAGGTGCTATTACACATTCACACAGTCTTCAGTAGAGCGGCATAAAATACTTCAAAATGTATAAAAAAATTGTACTATACCATTTATACTGCAGTAGATGTATTAGTGTAGACGGGACTGCTTTGTTTTTAAAGGGGTCATATGATGCGCTTTCAATTTTTGCTTTCTCTTTGGAGTGTTACAAGCTCTTGGTGCACAGCTACTGAGATCCTGTCTGGATCTGTGTGTGTTTGTTTGCAGGCCAGTGGGAGTCAGTCTTCAGCGTCCCGATCCTCAAACGCAGAGTCTCGGATCTTCTGGCTGGGTCTGATCATCTGTCCCATCGTCTGGGTCATCTTTGCTTTCTTTGCTCTCATCTCCTTTAAGATCAAATGGCTGGTGAGCTCTCGGTCTTTATCACAGACAGAACACACAGAGTTTTGAAGATGATGTTCTGTGAGTGATGCTGTCTTCTCTCTCAGGCGGTGGTGATTATGGGAGTGGTGTTACAGGGAGCCAATCTCTACGGATATGTGCGCTGCAAAGTAGGAGCCAGAACAAACCTGAAGAACATGGCCACAAATTACCTTGGACGGCAGTTTCTCAAACAGGTGTGTGATTCAGAAGCATCTTCTTAATAGAATCCTCATTTCACTTACGCTGTCTGATGGTACAGTTTGAAACTCCGTTTTATTGTCTTTTTTTATTATTTTTAGGCTTTCACAAAACAAGAGGAGTCTTAGGAAGACAGAATTCACGCCAGTTCCATTGATGAACTTCTAATGCGTTATTTTTTAAGAAATTAAATGAACTAAAATGGTTACTGATTTCTTTGATTTATTAATTTTTTTTGTTAACCACATCCTGTTAAATAATGTGTTTGACATTTTAAATACCTTTAACTTTATAGTTTTTGTTTAATATCTAACTCAGAGTTCAGAGTATGTGTTTTGTTATATAATATTGCATGACATCATGCATTATGCTTCTAAAAAAGATGTACATATTTATATACTGCTGTAAATTACTGTATACTTTCTTTAGGTACATTTAGGAAAGTTGATGATTGAATGATTGATTGTATCTCATGTTCAGTGAATTTACGAAATAAATGAAGTTTTGTGTAAAACTGGAGCCACACTGAATCTCAGGCCAGTGAAGTCACCCACAAACACCACACTGTCAAAGTCAAGTCCCTTTTATACTTATCTAAAGTGGTTTTACCATTACCATGCCATTAGAAATTCATCTTCACTTTCAATTTAAATCAATTTGTTCTTTTTTTTTTTGTCTTTTTTTTGTGTGACATGTTAATGTCCCTTATAAATATTAATACAATTAAATCATTTAAATTAATTATAAATTAATATCATTATTTTCACATACAGTAAATTGCACGTTATTAACATTACCTGCAATCTGTTATTTGAATTTGTGGTTAATAATAATATTGTGGTTTCAGTCAATTGTTTTATAAGTAAGAAAGGTGATCTTTAAATCCCAAAATCTCAGATTTTGCTGAAAAAAAAAGTTAAAAAAGTACTTTTTTACAGGTTTATTTTAATAATTAACCCACTTTTGTAATATTCTTCTCTATGTCTTATTTATTTATTTAGCTGGATTTGGACTTTTTGAAATTGTAGTAAGTTTTGTATTTCATTCAAGCAACAATTAAAAAAATTAATTGTTATTTATTTTAATGATTAACCCACTTTTGTAATATTCTTCTGTATGGCTTATTAATTTATTTATTTATTTATTTATTTAGCTGGATTTGGACTCTTTGAAATTGTAGTAAGTTTTGTGTTTTGTATTTTATTCAAGCAACAATTAAAAAATTAATTATTAATTATTTATTTATTTAGCTGGATTTGGACTTTTTGAAATCGTATTAAGTTTTGTGTATTGTATTGCATTCAAGCAACAATAAAAAATGACTTTTATTTTGTACACGTGAGTCACGTCACTGCCGTTTTTCCATGTGTGTTGTATTGTTTCCGGCTTTCCGCTGTCTTCACGTTAACGTTGTAATATTACTGTGGATTTTGCATCGATCCGGACGGACCCAGCTGTCGTTTCCATCACATTTCTGGCCGTCAGGATGATCCCGACCGAAGACGCGTCCGCTCGCAAGCGGGAGATCGAGGACAAACTCAAACAGGTCCGTTAAAAAGAGGAAGAATGAAGAATAACGTGAGAATCCCGTGATCAGGGAGCGGATGTTATTTATTAATATTCGCCAGAAACTGCGTGATTGTCTTAAAACTCATCTCCTTTAAGATCAAATGGCTGGTGAGCTCTCGGTCTTTATCACAGACATGAGTTTTGAAGATGATGTTCTGTGAGTGATGCTGTCTTCTCTCTCAGGCAGTGGTGATTATGGGAGTGGTGTTACAGGGAGCCAATCTCTACGGATATGTGCGCTGCAAAGTAGGAGCCAGAACAAACCTGAAGAACATGGCCACAAATTACCTTGGACGGCAGTTTCTCAAACAGGTGTGTGATTCAGAAGCATCTTCTTAATAGAATCCTCATTTCACTTACGCTGTCTGATGGTACAGTTTGAAACTCCGTTTTATTGTCTTTTTTTATTATTTTTAGGCTTTCACAAAACAAGAGGAGTCTTAGGAAGACAGAATTCACGCCAGTTCCATTGATGAACTTCTAATGCGTTATTTTTTAAGAAATTAAATGAACTAAAATGGTTACTGATTTCTTTGATTTATTAATTTTTTTTGTTAACCACATCCTGTTAAATAATGTGTTTGACATTTTAAATACCTTTAACTTTATAGTTTTTGTTTAATATCTAACTCAGAGTTCAGAGTATGTGTTTTGTTATATAATATTGCATGACATCATGCATTATGCTTCTAAAAAAGATGTACATATTTATATACTGCTGTAAATTACTGTATACTTTCTTTAGGTACATTTAGGAAAGTTGATGATTGAATGATTGATTGTATCTCATGTTCAGTGAATTTACGAAATAAATGAAGTTTTGTGTAAAACTGGAGCCACACTGAATCTCAGGCCAGTGAAGTCACCCACAAACACCACACTGTCAAAGTCAAGTCCCTTTTATACTTATCTAAAGTGGTGTTACCATTACCATGCCATTAGAAATTCATCTTCACTTTCAATTTAAATCAATTTGTTCTTTTTTTTTTTGTCTTTTTTTTGTGTGACATGTTAATGTCCCTTATAAATATTAATACAATTAAATCATTTAAATTAATTATAAATTAATATCATTATTTTCACATACAGTAAATTGCACGTTATTAACATTACCTGCAATCTGTTATTTGAATTTGTGGTTAATAATAATATTGTGGTTTCAGTCAATTGTTTTATAAGTAAGAAAGGTGATCTTTAAATCCCAAAATCTCAGATTTTGCTGAAAAAAAAAGTTAAAAAAGTACTTTTTTACAGGTTTATTTTAATAATTAACCCACTTTTGTAATATTCTTCTCTATGTCTTATTTATTTATTTAGCTGGATTTGGACTTTTTGAAATTGTAGTAAGTTTTGTATTTCATTCAAGCAACAATTAAAAAAATTAATTGTTATTTATTTTAATGATTAACCCACTTTTGTAATATTCTTCTGTATGGCTTATTAATTAATTAATTTATTTATTTATTTAGCTGGATTTGGACTCTTTGAAATTGTAGTAAGTTTTGTGTTTTGTATTTTATTCAAGCAACAATTAAAAAATTAATTATTAATTATTTATTTATTTAGCTGGATTTGGACTTTTTGAAATCGTATTAAGTTTTGTGTATTGTATTGCATTCAAGCAACAATAAAAAATGACTTTTATTTTGTACACGTGAGTCACGTCACTGCCGTTTTTCCATGTGTGTTGTATTGTTTCCGGCTTTCCGCTGTCTTCACGTTAACGTTGTAATATTACTGTGGATTTTGCATCGATCCGGACGGACCCAGCTGTCGTTTCCATCACATTTCTGGCCGTCAGGATGATCCCGACCGAAGACGCGTCCGCTCGCAAGCGGGAGATCGAGGACAAACTCAAACAGGTCCGTTAAAAAGAGGAAGAATGAAGAATAACGTGAGAATCCCGTGATCAGGGAGCGGATGTTATTTATTAATATTCGCCAGAAACTGCGTGATTGTCTTAAAAAAGAATGTCACAAAGCATTTAAGAAGCTTAATGATAGAAAAATGATCATGTAAAAAAATAAGGTGTTATTATAATTTGACAGTATGCATATATCTTGAGCTGTTTGCTTTCTACAGGAACAAGAAACTCTGTCTTTTATTCGTGAAAGCCTGGAGAAGAGTGATCAGCTCACTAAAGGAATGGTGAGAGAGAGAGAGAGTGTGTGTGTGTGTGTGTGTGTGTGTGTGCATGTGTGTGTGTTGTGTGTGTGTGAGAGAGAGAGAGAGTGTGTGTGTGTGATCCTGGTTTTAAGATATAAGATAATCAAACTGAAATAACAGCCTTTGTACAGTGATATTTGCTGAACACATGTCATTATCTGCTGTAAATATGATTTTGTGGTTGTCTTCCTGTAAGGTGTCCATCCTGTCCTCGTTCGAGAGCCGTCTGATGCAGCTGGAGAACTCCATCATCCCGGTTCATAAGCAGACGGAGAATCTGCAGCGTCTGCAGGAGAACGTGGACAAAACTCTCTCCTGCTTGGATCACGTCATCAGTTATTATCACGTGGCCAAAGACACCGACAAGATCATCCGGGAAGGGTGAGGGCCGCCTGAGACTCGTGTTCAGTGATAGACCGATATATCGGCTCAGAACTGTAGGCAGTTAGTTGAAGTGATCTTTAATTTCCAAAATATAACAACAGCCCACTCTGTACATTTCTGTTTATTATTCAATACAGATATAATATGTTTATATTTTTATATTTTATTTATGTTTCAGCTATTTTTAGGACATTTCTAATTAATTAATCATTTTAATATTTAAAGTTATTTACATTTAATAATATACATTTCATATTTATTTAAGATTTTAATTAAATTATTACATATAATTATGTTTTATTTCACACCAAGGCTGCATAATATACTATAATTATAATATAGTATAATTTATATAAAATACAGTTATAATGTATAATAATGTATAACTTAATTGCACATAGATAGATAGACAGTATATAAAATATATATTTATAATATAATACAGCTTAATTTTGTGTGTATATATTTTTTATTAAATAATAGTTTTATTATTTTAATGTATTTACATTATTAAATAAAAAATATATATATTTTAAGTAAATTATTAGGTATAATTATTGTAAAGTCTCTTATACTCATATAGGCTGTATTTACTTGATCAAAAATACAGTAAAAACAGTAATATTGTGGAATATTAGAGTTTTAAATAACAGATAGATAGATAGATAGAGAGAGAGAGAGAGATATGTATATGTATAGACTGACATTGGTCAATCACTGCTCTTGCAGGCCTGCAGGTCGTCTGGACGAGTATCTGGCCTGCATTGCAAAGATCCAGAAAGCCGTGGAGTATTTTCAGGACAACAATCCCGACAGTCCCGAGCTCAACACAGTGGTACGTATGTCACGCACTCACAAACCTCTCACGCTTCTTCAGTCCGTGTGAAGCTGCTCAGCGAGGCTGTCGCGTTGCAGAAAGCTCGCTTCGAGAAGGGGAAGGAGCTTCTGGAGGCGGAGTTTCGCAGCCTGCTGATGCGCTACAGCAAACCGGTGCCACCCATCCTCATCCTGGACACCATCGGAGGAGACGAGGACATGGAGGTGCAGGAGGACGTGACGCTGGAGCACCTGCCCGAAGCCGTCCTGCAGGACATCATCTGCATCTCTGCCTGGCTGGTGGAGTACGGACGCAACCAAGGTGCACACACGCAAACGCTTTTAATCTCGTGTCGCCCACTGTTTCAGCCGCGTTGGTTCCATCTGTGTTTTTTTCCATTCATTTTTCCCATATAAATTTTTTTAAAGTCTTTGTTAAAGCGCATTAAGCCGCTTTAGCCGGCTACGAGGTGAATCACAACATTACAAACATTTATTGGAAGCAAAAAA